GTTGAAAGCGTCTTTTCTTTTTTTCCACCACTCCAGTTCTCTGTTTTGAGAAATTTGCAGAACTGCACAAACAACCTGCTAACTAAGCTTTCGCTACGCCTGCGAACCCCTAATGTGATCTGTCAGCTCGCTGGGGTGTGACACGTCATCTGCAGGTGGCGTCTGCTAATAAAAGTCAAGAGGAGGTCTTTAGAAAAAGTCCTTGTTTAATAATGTAATACTATTTAAACAAACTGGTATTTTAATCCTTTTTTTGCAGAAAGGGAACGAGGGAAGAAATGTTAGCTTGTTCAGCTAAGCTGTGACACATCTACTAGACGTTTGGCATTGATGATGAGGAGGAAGAGGGAGAGACTCATGATAAGCAGTCGTTGAGCCAACAGGGTTTCGCTGATCCAGAACCGACGCCATTATCTCTGAGCGCAAACCAAGATTGTGGAATAGATTCAGCTGGGTTGTTGCGCTCCCGGAGATTGACCCTCTCTGCTCTCATTTACTGACGAGTAATAATTTGAGTTGTTCCACTGGACCGTGTGCCAACAGGATTTCAGCACAAGTACTTAGTTCCTCACAACATCTGAAGATAGAGGACAGGTAAAAGAAAATAGTTTCTTCGTGGTTTTAAAAGCAGGTTTTCAGAGAAACCATTTTTTACTCATTATTTTTTAAAATGATCACTCTGAGTTTAATGTGCAGGTTGAACATGAAAATAGTCTTCTACCCCTATTTCCTGCATTAGCTTCTGGTAGAAAATAGATGGTGAAACGCCGGGTGCAGAAAATCCTGACAGAGAACGTCTCAGCTAGTAGAAGCTAACCGTTAGCATTAGCAACTCCACCACTCATCCAGGCTTGTGTTCTTTGTGGAGATGAAACATCAACGTTGCAGAGCAACAGTGGTAGAGTCGCGTTAGTCAGAGAAGAGAAGAAGAAGAAGAAGAAAATATCATTTCTATAGCGCCTCTCAAGATAAAAATCACGAGGGGCTTCACTAAAAAAAAAAAGTAAAAATATAAAAGAGCATTTAGAAAATGTTTAGAAATATATTTAAAATGAGCAAAAATAGGCAATTGGGATTTAAAAGAAAAAATGTTATGAAAGAGAGAGAGTGAACAGGAAAGAGGGAAATCAGTGGATCCTGAGGAAGGTGGAATAGGTGGGGAGAGCAGAATAAAGAGAGAGAGGTGAAGAAGGTCATACAAAAGCCAGCTTGAACAAGTGAGTCTTCAGCTGCTTTTTAAAGGAGACCACTGAGTCCACTGATCTCAGGCTCAGGGGGAGAGAGGTCCAGAGTCTGGGGGCCACAGCAGCAGATGATCTGTCACCTTTGACCTTTAGCCTGGTGCTGCACAACCAGTAGGCTTTGATCACTGGACCTCAGGGACCTGCTGGGGGTGTAGGGACTAAGAAGATCACCAATGTAAGATGGTGCTTGTCCATGTAAGGCCCTATAGACCAGAACCAGGATCTTGAAATGAACCCTGAAGTTGACTGGCAGCCAGTGAAGCTGGAGGAGAAGCGGGGTGATGTGGGTGTGTTTGGAGGACTTGGTCAGATGCCGAGCACAGGCGTTCTGAACCACCTGTAGACGGTTCAGGGAGGTTCTGCTCAGACACGTGAAAAGAGAGTTACAGTAGTCTAAGCGTGAGGAGATGAAGGTGTGGAGAACTGTCTCAAGTTCAGAGCGAGACAGAATGGGACTCAGCTTAGCAACGTTCCTGAGATGGAAGAAGGAAGAGCGAACAAGAGAACTGACATGAGAATCCAGGGTGAGAGCTGGGTCAAAGGTCACACCAAGATTCCTTACAGAAGGTTTGGTGTGGGAAGCAAGCTGACCAAGAGAGTCTCTGACTTTGGGAACCAGCTTGTCTGGGGCACAGATGAGGATCTCAGTCTTATCTTCATTCAGCTGAAGAAAGCTCCCACCATCCAGGTTTTGATAGAGTCTAAGCAGGTGTGTAACAGCTGCAGCTTAGACATCTCATGGGGCTTAAAGGAGATGTACAGTTGGATGTCGTCTGCATAAAGATGGTAGGAGATTCCTTTGAAGGAGCTCAGGATGTGCTGAAGAGGAAGCAGATAGAGGAGGAAGAGCAGAGGCCCCAGCACAGAACCTTGTGGGACACCATGGGTAAGAGAGGCGGTGGAGGACCTAAACTTGGAGACGGCCACAGAAAAGGAGTGCTCAGAGAGATAAGAGGAGAACCACTCCAGAGCAGATCCTGATAGGCCTACCCAGTCTCTCAGCCTCTCCAGTAGCAGGTGATGGTCAACAGTGTCAAAGGCTGCAGTCAGGTCCAGCAGGACCAGAACAGAACAGTCCCCTGCATCACTGTGGGTCAGAAGGTTATTAGAGACCCTAAGAAGAGCTGTTTCAGTAGAATGAGCTCTACGAAAACCTGACTGGAAGCTATCATAGATGTTATGTTCATCAAGAGCAGCTGTGAGTTGTTTAGCCACAACCTTTTCCAAGATCTTGGAGATGAATGGAAGTTTAGAGATGGGTCTGAAGCTGCTATGGAGAGAGGGGTCGAGACTCGGTTTTTTAAAGAGCAAGTCACCCCCTACCAGATTCTAACTCCACTCCCACTTCATGTTTGAAAAATGCAACAAATGCTGTTTCCTGGCAGACCACGAGGGCAGAGCTGCTAACAAACACACACACACACAGGCTCACGACAGCATTGTGACATCATAATGTACCAGATGACATCATACTATACCTCTTAGCCAATAGCGGTGGCAGATTTAAATTAGAATACAGTGGAGAGTTTTTACCTGACAACGGCACAACACTGCCAGTTTTAGGCAGAATATTTAAATTTTAACTAAGATGCACTGAAGTGCCAAATTATTGACGACACGTGTCTGCAGCACGATTAGACACTCGTTTATTTAGTTTATCAGCAAAAAAAAAGTTTATTTGGGGGTGACTTGCTCTTTAAGAAGCGGGTGGATTACTGCGTTCTTAAAGTAAGCAGGGACCTGACCAGAGACCAGAGAAGCATTAATTATAGAGAGCACGCTGGGACCGATGGACTGAAAAGCACTTTTAAACAAAGATGAGGGTAAGATGTGGAGGGGGCATGCAGAGGTCTTCATAGAGTTAACTCGTTTGGTTAACTCAGGCAAAGAAACAGGAGCAAAGCTATCTAGGATGATGGGTCTGGTTGGAGTCGGGAGAGGCGGCGATAAGGCTGAAGGAGAGATGCTAGATCTAACCTTATTGGCTTTGTCCACAAAGAAAGACAGAAAGTTCTCACAGTCCAGAGATGTCCAAGTATCGGCAAATAAGACTCCAGATCCTTCCTTGTTCTGCCACTTTCTCCTCCAGCTGATTTCTACGTGCTGAAAAAGGCGCACCAGAGCTTTTTTTCCCCAGAGAACGACTTACTACTCTCCTACTAGAGACTTCCGCAGATGTGTTAGAAATATGAGTTATGCTGACCTTCATTAGATGGGATGGAAAGATGTTTATATGGAAACCTTTTCCTATAAACATTTTTGGACGCAGTGGTAGAATTTAAGTTACAAATAAAAGTAGAGGAGTGGTTGCTGAAAGTGAGACTGGACAATGTGGACTAAAGCAAAAACTGATGTCCTCCTCTTGGACGATAGATCCGGTGTTTAGCTGCCTGCTACCTGTGTCCCTGCTGCTGATTAACACTGGGCCTGCTGGAGAAGTTTCCAGATGATGGGAGGCGGTGTGAGCCATGATCCGTTAGCAAGCAGCAGAATCTTAACGGGTATTTAGATGGAGATGACTGACAGTTGGCAGTCTGGGTAGTTTAGGATAAACAACTATGGGTACGTTTACCCACCTTCAGTCAGCAGGAGCAGGCTGACGTGGACGCATTTACTGGACCTGCTTTAGCGATCCGACATCAAACAAATGACTTGTTTCTGGCATCTGCATCGACTGAAGCAGGTCTTTGTGCTCACACATTCCCAGCCTCTCCAGAGAGCTGCTGATATTGTCCAGACATGGATTATTTTTAGTCTAACAGTAGAGGGTCGTGTTAGTGTTGGTCGGCGGCTCCAAAGGATTGGTCATTAGGAGCTTCACCCTGGTCTCTTTGATTTCTCCAGACTAGCAGACACATGAGGGCATCGATCTCTGAGGGGATTGCACTTATAAACGTTATCAGAGAGCAATGAGGCACAGCTAGCAGCAATCCTGGCAAGAAGTGTGTGTGTGTGTGTGTGTGTGTGTGTGTGTGTGTGTGTGTGTGTGTGTGTGTGTGTGTGTGTGTGTGTGTGTGTGTGTGTGTGTGTGTGTGTTGGTGGGGGGTGCAGTCTTCTCTCAGTTATCATCCTTCTCTTTCCACACCTTATGTGTTTTTCTGCACAAGATTTCAGATCAGATGGGTCTAAGTGAGCCTGATTATGGTTTCTCGAGAGTCTGAAGGGTCCTTTCATGGGTGGCGGTTGCAGAAGGAGTAAGTGCCTGCCCCGTAACTAGAAGGTTGCAGGTTGAGGTCCTCTCTGTTGCTGTCACTGTGTCCTTGGGCAAGACACATCACCCTCCGTGCCTGCTGGTGGTGGTTAGAGGGACCAGTGGTGCCACAGCCTGGCCTCAGTCAGTGTGCCCCAGGGCAGCTGTGGCTAGGCTGTAGTGATGGGTGAATGACTGGTTGTGTTATACGGCACTTTGGGGGGTCATAGAAGGTCAAGCATCAAATCCAGTCCTCTTACAATTTGTTTCTTCTTCCTCTGTGCTAGCAAGCCACTTGTTGGTGCGTTACCTGGAATTGGGATTCTAAATATTATTAATGTCAATATGGAAAAATAATGAAGATGATACAGAAAAGTGTTAAAGGTGCATGCTGCTACACTACTTTATGATGTAAAGCCAGTTTAAATGAGCCTCAGAGGGGTGGCTCCCCGGGTGGCCAATCAGATTTCAAAGGCGGTGTGTGCTGCCCCAGACCACTCCCTGGACATGTCCTTATATTTTCACTAACATGACCGTTCTGTGCCGCTCTCCTCTCGTCTCCTCAGGTCTTGAAGGGAAGTAAAAAGCTGTGTCTTTCGGTGCGTTCGGTGGGCCGGATTCCAGGCGGCTACGTCACAAACCACGTTTATACCTGGGTGGATCCTCAGGGTCGGAGCGTATCCCCTCCTCCCGACCTGCCCGAGCATCGGAGCGCCACCCTGAGGAGGACCGACAGTCAGCGGCGCAGCAACATGCAGCTTCTGCAGGAGGGAGATGAAAAGAAGGTGGGGAACTCCACACGTATTGTCACTGGCTGTGATATTCCCCACAGGAGGTGATTTATTTAAAATTTGCTCCCAAGATTTAAAGATTTTTATCTGCATTTTTGTTTGTTTCTGTAGTTTTAATGAAATACTTCATGAAACCGATGGATTATAATGAAACTTCCAGAAAGTTATCATTGGTCTTAAATGTAGACCTGATGAACTTTTGAATTCTACTTAATTCAGGATGGCCACCATGACTAGCTGACCTTAAAAAAACACAAAAATGGCTCCGAGTCAGTTTCACAGATTTTCTGACATTCGTTAGCGGCTGAGAGTCCTCTCCATCCCAAACCTTGAGTACTCACAGCTTCCAATTCAATTCAAAAATACTTTATTAATCCCAGAGGGAAACTGATTGCTGTAGTAGCTCAGAATAATAATAATAATCAAGTCATCAAAGAGTTGTTGTATATTACAATGGCTGTTGGCAGGAAGGATCTCCAGTAGCGGTCAATGTTGCAGCCAAACTGAAGAAGCCTCTGACTGAAGACACTCTTCCGTTGTCGGACAGTCTTGTGAAGAGAATGCTCAGGGTTGTCCATCATGTTCTTGATTCTCTGGAGAATCCTTCTTTGCATTATCTCCTCCAGCGGTTCCACAGTCGTCCCCAGAACAGAACCAGCCTTTGTTATTAGGCTGTTGAGCCTTTTCAGGTCCCTGCTTCTGATGCTGCTACCCCAACAGACGATGGCTGAAGAGATTACACTCTCAACAACAGACTTGTAGAAGATCTGCAGCATCTTGCTACAGACACTGAAGGACCTAAGCGTCCTCAAGAAGTGCAGTCTGCTGTGTCCCTTCTAGTAAACGGCTTCGCTGTTCTTTCTCCAGTCCAGTCTGTTGTCCAGGTGAACTCCAAGGTGTTTGTATTCCTCAACCACCTCCACTTCTTCTCCCATGATGGAGACAGTGTTTGACTCCACCCTGTTTCTTCTGAAGTCTAAAATCATCTCCTTTGTTTTGTTCACGTTCAAGGTCAGATGATTGTTTCCACACCATGCCACAAAGCGCTCCACCAGCTCTCTGTACTCAGCTTCCTGTCCATCTCTGATACACCCGACAACTGCAGAGTCATCTGAGTATTTCTGTAGATGACAGGTCTCTGACTTGTACTGGAAGTCTGAGGTGTACAGGGCGAAAAGGAATGGTGAGAGTACAGTCCCCTGTGGTGCTCCAATGCTACTGATGGCCTGGTTTGATGTGCAGTTCTTCAGCCTCACAAACTGTGGTCTGTTTGTCAGGTAGTCTTTAATCCAGGTGATAGTTGAGGCCCTCACCTGTGTCTTCTGGAGGTTCTGGCAAAGTACATCAGGCTGGATTGTGTTAAATGCACTGGAGAAATCAAAGAACATGACCCTCACAGTGCTGCCTGCTTTGTCCAGATGACAGTGGGTTGGTTGAAGCAGCTGGATGATGGCATCTTCAACTCCAACTCCATGGCGATGAGCAAACTGCAGCGGGTCCTGATATGTTCTAGTTTGCTTATTCAGGTGGACCAACAGGAGTCTCTCCAGGACCTTCATGATGTGGGATGTCAGGGCAACCGGTCTGTACTCGTCATTGACTGATGGGCGAGTTTTCTTTGGAACTGGAACAAGGCAGGATGTCTTCCACAGGACTGGAACCTTCTCCTGGGCCAGGCTGAGGATGAAGAGGTGCTGCAGAATCCCACAGAGCTGCTCTGCACAGGCCTTCAGTACTCTGGGGCTGACACCATCTGGACCTGCAGCCTTGTTCCTGTTCAGTTTCTCCAGCTGCCTCTTCGCCTGACTTCTAGAGACAGATAGGTGGGAGGGGGAGGTAAATGGGGCAGCAGCATCTCCTGACTTGGTTGAAGACAGATTTATAGAACCAGAAGAGTCCATGACTGTGTTAGAGGACAAAAGAGCTGGCGTGTGACAGGAAAATGTTGGATCAGAGGAGGATGGGATGTCTGATTGGCTGGGGACAGGCGAGGAGGATGCTGGGTTTGTTCCTGAACCGAACCTATTGAAGAACTTGTTCAGTTCATTGTAGGGCTGCACAATATATCAAAAAATTATCGTCATCACGATAACAGGACGTGCGATAGGCCCATCGCAAAGCACGTCAAAAACAGCGATAAATGTTTGGTTCAAACATTTCCATCCGTGTCATACATCAACTTTTTGTAAACCAGCTCTGTTTTTTACGTGGAAGTATTATTTGACCAATCAAATGTAGCCCTTCTGATAAGCGGCCAATCAGATGGGTCTGTTCACGTAATACGCCCGCCCCCTACGTAGACCCTTAGGATGGAAAGCAACACCCGAACTGAGTTAGCTGCGCCGTTCCCTTGTTCGTCATGCTGGCTCAGATTAACGAACGCACTTTGTGCTGATGTTTCTGGAATCAGCGCTGCTTTCAAACGTGAACGTGAGTCCGCTCGGTGTCGTTAAGCAGCTGATAGTAACCGGGCTGACTCCGACACGTGCCGGTGAACCAACCCACCTTCATGTCACTAGTGTTCCACCGGGCGGTGATGTTAGCCCCAGGCTCCGGTTAGCTTCCAGCTAAAAGTCTACAGCACTCTCCTCCCAGTCCCACTCTGCTAAAGAGGGCCTGGAAAAGTTCCCCCACACATCAAAGTGATTTTTCATTTATGAGCTTTTATAACCTTGTTAATCAGGATAGTTGATTTGCTGCTGCACATAAACTGTCAGTCAGAAGCTCTGCTAGCCGGTTAGCTTAGAGGAGCTAGTTCAATTAGTTAGCTTGTTATCAGAATCATAGTTGCAGTTTCATCATCTGAGCTGCTTTTTAAGATCTAGGTAAACCTGTTCAATTTGGGGTTAAAAACAAACATTTTCACATATTTTCCATGTAGTTTTTTTGCCAGTTCCTCTTCTGAAAGGTAGACAATTGTTTTTCTCTTTCCCTCAAAAAATCTTAATATTCTCCTAGTTTGGCCCAGCACAGTTCACTTCCCAGTTACAGCAACAGCCTTATATCATAACCACATAAGTGGAGAAAATGTTCAGTAGCAATGAGAGAATTTGCTGTTGCATTTAAGTGATGTTAACTATTATTTAGCATTTAAACTATTTATTCAAAAACCCTGGTAAGGGATTTTTTTCTGTATTTGGAGCATCAGAAAAAGTTTTATGGTGGAGGTGATATTTTAAAGTCACTGAGAAACTGCATGCATGCAGGTTGTATTTTTGCTGCAAATACAGTAGCAGGTGCAGCTGCTAACACAGTAGCAGGTGCAGCTGCTAATAAAGTAGCAGGTGCAGCTGATAATACAGTAGCAGGTGCAGCTGCTAATACAATAGCAGGTGCAGCTGCTAATACAGTAGCAGGTGCGGCTGCTAATGCAGTAGCAGGTGCAGCTGCTAATACAATAGCAGGTGCAGCTGCTAATACAGTAGCAGGTGCAGCTGCTAATACAGTAGCAGGTGCGGCTGCTAATGCAGTAGCAGGTGCGGCTGCTAATACAGTAGCAGGTGCAGCTGCTAATACAGTAGCAGGTGCAGCTGCTAATACAGTAGCAGGTGCGGCTGCTAATGCAGTAGCAGGTGCAGCTGCTAATGCAGTAGCAGGTGCAGCTGCTAATACAGTAGCAGGTGCAGCTGCTAATACAGTAGCAGGTGCGGCTGCTAATGCAGTAGCAGGTGCAGCTGCTAATGCAGTAGCAGGTGCAGCTGCTAATACAGTAGCGGGTGCAGCTGCTAATACAGTAGCGGGTCCAGCTGCTAATACAGTAGCGGGTCCAGCTGCTAATACAGTAGCGGGTGCAGCTGCTAATACAGTAGCAGGTGCGGCTGCTAATGCAGTAGCAGGTGCAGCTGCTAATACAGTAGCAGGTGCGGCTGCTAATACAGTAGCAGGTGCAGCTGCTGATACAGTAGCAGGTGCGGCTGCTGATACAGTAGCAGGTGCGGCTGCTGATACAGTAGCGGATGCAGCTGCATATTTTTGCAATAAAAATGTTATGTTGTAATGGAATTCATGCATTAGCTTTTGTTTGCTTTGAACCCAGAGCAGACGTCACACACCAGACATCAACACTGCATACTTTAGTATTTGTTCATTTATCGTGAGTAATACCGATATCGCAATATTAAGCACTGTTATCTACTATCACTGGTTTTCCTAATATCGTGCAGCCCTAGCTCTAAGTAAGCATGAAGGTCAGAGAGGAGCTCTAGGATGGACATGGATAAAGGAACTGTAATGTAGAGGTAAAGTAGGGCAGGGCCAACGTTAGCAGCTGTCATACGGTCCATCTGAAATGTTTGACTTTCATTTAGCGTGTTATCTGACAGGTTAGAGCACAGTCTCATGTTAGAGTTTTGTCATGAGAACATTGAGATAGCTCACATGCTGATGGCATCTAAAAAATAACTTTTTTTTCAAAATAAAGAATAATTTTAATCACAGTTGAAATGTACAATCCTATAAAAACCTCGTCCAATCACTGTGCACGTCCTGTTCTCACTGATTGGATAGAAATCCTTCCATCAAACTGTGTGTGTGTCCGTGTGTGTGCGTGCACACACGAGCGTGTTGTGAACTGGTGTTGTGGTTTTGCACTGACGCAGCCATCTTTACGCTGACAAAAATGTAACTAAGTAACTTTTACTTTGAGTACATTTTATTTACAATACTTTTTACTCTTACTTGAGTAAAAAATTATCAAACTACTGGTACTTGTACTTAAGTAGGAAATTTTGGTACTCTTTCCACCAGGACATCAGGATTAGTACCTTCCTCTAAAACCTTCCATTTACTGCACATGTCTACTGCCCCCGGTGGAGGACCTGCTTCATTGCAGGATTTCTGTTCCGTTGGGATACCTGTTAGTTTATATCTCCTAATAAATAAACCTTATAATTTAGGATTTCACATCATTTAACTGCAGCAGGTGTACAGATGTTAACTCTGTGAATTTAGTGTTTTTGGTTTTACTCTCAACAAAAAGAAAGTCCTTAACCAAAAGAAAGGGTCCTCCTGCACCTGTGCCCCCCTCACAGAGTCCATCACTTACTACAGCAAACACCAGAGCAGTGGGACGTGGAGAAGAGCAATATACTGATTTTGTGATACCGTTCTGAGGCTAGCGGACACGGTGGGCCTTAATAACTGCCATGTGGAGCCAATAAAAGATGGATCTGATAATTAAAACGTTTCTCAACATCCTGCATAAATGTCAGAGAACCTGAATGCCTTCATTTTCCCAAAGGTGAGCGGAGGTGACGGGCTTTCCTGCAGCAGGCAGACGCGCTGTTATTAAAATAGGAGAGCAGCACAATACTCAGCGAGAGAAGAGTGAGGCGTTGCGCTCTAGATGCCATCTCCACGCCCGTGGGCACATCGGAGGATGGAACCGACATCGTTTAATGGAGATATTTGCATGTGTTCCTTCTTGTGGCCGTCGGGGTGAAACCGATCCCCATTTGTAATCTTGGCAAGGAAGAGATGAGCCGAGTAATGAAATGCCTTTTTGTGATGGAGAAGGAAAAAAAAACAATTCAAACTTTGGCACGTCTCAGCCCCCTGAGCCTCAGACAATATCGATATAATGCTGCCTGTATTTTCTAAATGCATCAATAATTAGAATTGCTGACTTAAGTTTTTTATTTAATATTTTTATTTCAGTTATGCTTTATGACATTTGCTGAATCATACTTAAAGGGGCATCAGCATTTAATGTTGCATCATAAAATACAGGCATCTTGACATAAGATGATACCTCATTAGGGAAGAAAACCTCCGGGGGGGGGGGGGGGGGAATAGCTACGGAGCAGAGGAACCCACTTGGTGAGAGGACCTGAAGGCAATAAACAAAGAAAGCATAATATACCTTCTGAAATCTCAGCCAGTGGGTTAGAATATACAGCAGGCACTTCATCAGACAAATGAACCCTTCATACAGCCCAGCGCCTCGGGTCCAGACTGTAAATAATGAGTTTTTCTATTATTTTAATAGAACAGACATGTTACAGCATACCTGGAGCTGCTCTTTTACTTACATGAGTGTCATATATACTTACCTGTGATGAAGTGATGCTATTGTGCACGTGTGTATAAAAAACTAGTTAAAGTGATGCTTAACAAGTTTCTCACTTGCTTAGCCTCGTGAACGTTTGCTCTAAAGGAACGCTCCATTGGAACCTCGGCAGACACTAGCAGCATTCTGGCTGGCCAATCACAGCTCTCTATAGGGGTTTCTAACCAAAAGAGCACCATGATTGGCCTACCATTGTGGACCAATCATATCGCTATTTTGACTTTGTTGGCCAATCAGGGCCCTCTATTCATCTGCTAGGCAGGATGATGCGATGGAGTCCCTGTCCCCAAGAAGCCAAGGATCACTGGACTCGAGGACTACTGACCTGTGGCTCTGACACACACACGTGAACACCAGAGTACCAGAATACCCTTGTAAGGGTGGTGGAGGGGGCGTGGGAGTTTGCCCAACCAATCCACATGTGTTTTGTGGATTTGGAGAAGGCTTATGACCGTGTCCCCAGGGGCACCCTGTGGGGGACGCTCCAGGAGTACGGGGTGGGTGGCTTTCTGCTAAGGGCCATTCAGTCCCTTTACCAGAGGAGCGTGAGTTTGGTCCGCATAGCCGGTAGTAAGTCGGACCTGTTCCCGGTGAGGGTTGGACTCCGCCAGGGCTGCCCTTTGTCACCGGTTCTGTTCATTACCTTTATGGACAGAATTTCTAGACGCAGCCGTGGTGTGGAGTGTGTCGAGTTTGGTGGCAGGAGAATCTCGTCTCTGCTTTTTGCGGATGATGTGGTCCTCCTAGCTTCATCCAGCTCTGACCTTCAGCTCTTGCTGGGTAGGTTTGCGGCCGAGTGTGAAGCGGCTGGGATGAGGATCAGCACCTCCAAATCTGAGACCATGGTTCTCGACCGGAAAAGGGTGGCTTGCCTACTCAGGGTCGGGAGAGAGGTCCTACCTCAAGTGGAGGAGTTTAAGTATCTCGGGGTCTTGTTCACGAGTGAGGGTAGGAGGGATCGTGAGATCGAAAGGCGGATTGGTTCGGCGTCTGCAGTGATGCGGACGCGGAGCCGATCTGTCGTGGTGAAGAGGGAGCTGAGCCAGAAAGCCAGGCTCTCGATTTACCGGTCGATCTACGTCCCAATCCTCACCTATGGTCATGAGCTTTGGGTAATGACCGAAAGAACGAGATCGCGGATACAAGCGGCCGAAATGAGTTTCCTCCGTAGGGTGGCCGGGCTCAGCCTTAGAGATAGGGTGAGGAGCTCGGACATTCGGGAGGGACTCGGAGTAGAACCGCTGCTCCTCCGGATCGAAAGGAGCCAGTTGAGGTGGTTTGTGCATCTGGTCAGGATGTCTCCTGGACGCCTCCCTGGGGAGGTGTTTCGGGCAGGTCCTGCCGGCAGGAGGCCCCCGGGTCGACCCAGGACACGTTGGAGAGGTTACATCTCCAATCTGGTCCGGGAACGCCTTGGGGTCCTGCCGGAGGAGCTGGTGGAGGTGGCCGGGGAGAGGACGGTCTGGAGCTCCCTAGTTGGGATGCTGCCCCCGCGACCCGGACCCGGATAAGCGGAGGAAGACGACGACGACGAATTCTTTTTCCTGTTTTTCCATCATGTGTCCTTTAATTAGTTCCTCCATTTGTTTATCAAGTTTGTAATTCCTTTTTAAGTCCAGGTGTCTTCTTTCCAGTATGTTTTCCACTAGCTTCTGTTTGGTTATGACGTTTCTTATCCTTTCCTTGAGTAGTGCTCTCTGTGCTCTTTCCATTATGTTCTGTGCTGTCTTGGTCCGGATCGGTGTTTTCAGCTGTAGGCTTGTGGGTGGGATGTTTTCTTCCAGGCATCTTAAATTGAAGCGAATTTGGTTCCTAAGACGTGCGCTTTTTTGATGTAATTGTTCCGAACGGCGGAAGTCCTTTGTCCCTTGTTGTCCGTATTTTTCTTTAAACATCTTAGGTGTGTTCTTGCTGTGTTTAGTTTCAAATTCCATCTTTCAGTTGATTTTAAAATACAGAAAAGGTTTAATTACCTGCAACGTTTCGTTTGCGGCTGCAAACATCAGATTGACGCTGATGGTGGCGTCACTTCCATCATTTATCCGCGGGCAGCAGAGGACGTTGTCACCCTCTGCTGCCCGCTCTACTGCATCATCGGAGAGGGGAGAGCGTGCAGCAGAGGGCGACAACGTCTTCTGCTGCCTGCAGATAAACAAAGTAGGAAGTGGCGCCACCATCGGCGTCAGCCTGAGGATGTTCACAGCCGCAAATGAAACGTTGCAGGTAATTAAACCTTTTCTGTGTTTTAAAAAGAACTGAAAGATGGAATGGTCATAGGTGCTTCAGAGGAATTAATGATCAGTGTTTGTGGCATCAGAAGAGGGTACGGTTGCAGGCGGAGGTGGAACGAACAAACAAAAAGCCTGAAACTCCAAAGGTGCGCTTTGACAGAAGCTCAGATTGACCTGTAGCCAATCAGCTTCTCTGTGGGTGTGGACAGCTGCATGATACCTCATACCTCTTATCTGTAGGATCCATTTATAAAATAATAAACAGCTTCCTATGAAAGATTCACCAGAGGTGGAACAGGGCTCAGCTCAGACGAGAGAGTCTGTAGCTCAGGGGGCTCAGTAGTCATCACAAAGCCGACCCCAGCTTCACCGATTGTCCGCCATGTCTTCTATAAGACTCGTGATGAACGTTGTGATTAACATTTCAGGTCCATCTGGATCTTGGATCGTTAGTTTTTGTAGCTGAGGTCGAAGTTTGCAGTCTTCTTAGCAGCAGAGTAGATGTGTGAGGGTATATGTAGTCGTGGGGGTTCTGTTCTGTGGGTCATGCATTATTCCAGTTCCTCGGGGAGTTCTTGATGGGATGTGTCAGTTCGCCTCTAGATGCTTAGAAGCATCATTTACATCTGATTTGGACAGAAAGACGAGTGTTGCCGCCGACATTTTCATCAATGTTTAATTTGGTTAGAATTATCTTTAAAACCATTTATCAACACGTGTTTATGTCTTCATGACTTAATCTTTGTCCACGTGACTTTTTCTGTGTCATCATCACTGTTTGGTCTTTCACACCAGTTGTTCCACCATTGGTCTCTAACTGTTTTCTTCAGTGTAATCTGGTAAATTCACTTCATTTTAGCAACAACTCTGAGAAAGTGAAGAAAGTGGATCCATATTCTGAATTTTCTGCAAACAGCATCTTTTGAAAGCGTAACAGTTAATTTTTTTATAATAAAAATACGTCTGGTGGGATTAACATGAACTAGATCCTCTAATTTGACACGGATCTATTCTGGATAAAAATGACCATGTTTGACCAAGATAAAGGACAGAAGTGGATTTCTTTATTCCACTTCCTAGAGCTTTGTTTATGCTTGGTTCAGTTGTGATTTCTTATGATTCTCAATTAATGTAAATTGGTAATTTAGTTAGAGTAGGACTTACTCCTCTCACCGGGTTTTGTCTTTAAACTAACGGAACACTTCAGGTCATTTTTCAGACTCCCACATGTAAACAACCTTCTCTCATCAACAGTCAAATAAACCACAAAAAGAGAGAAATGCTCTTTCTAGATGCCCGGGTTAGGATTAGGGTTAGGTTCTGATCCAGATCATTTCCTGTTTCTTTCCTTCAGTCTGGTTTACGTTTTTTCCTTCATCAGGTGAATTTGGTTCTGGATGACGGCCGTTCTCTGGGTCTGATGATCCGAGGAGGAGCTGAGTACGCTCTGGGGATCTACATCACTGGTGTGGATAAAGGCTCAGCAGCTGAGTGCGGAGGACTGAAGGTATGAACAGTTTAGGCACAGATCAGACATTCTTGCTTATTTAAAGGAGCAATATGTAAGAATTATCTGTCAAAGAATAACAGAACAGTCTAATATCTTGGTCGCATTAGAAGGAAGGTCGTACTGAAACAGACTTCCTTCTCAGCCGGCTGGGGGGTTGCCAGATTTTCTCCTTTCAAAATAAAGGAAAGAGGGGCGTGTTGTTTCCATCCTACCAGCGCTTATGTCAGCTGGAAGGGAATGGGGAGGTGGGGGAAATGTAACGGGTCATTAGAAGACATGTAACCAACAAGAAAGTTGTTGGTTGTGTTATTAGAGACCATTAAAGTGAGTCGTGGAGGATGGCTGCTTATACTGAGCCAGGATTCTCTGGAGGTTTCTTCCTGTTAAAAGGGAGTTTTCCTCTCCACTGTCACTTTATGCTTGCTTGGTATGAGGATTGTTGTATAGTCACTGACACTAGTCAGTGACTTGATGCAATTTGCTGGGTTCCTTATATAGGAAACATTATTTCTGATTGGCTTAATGACCTGACCTGAATTGGAATGTTTATTATGTGAAGTGCCTTGAGACGACTCTTGTGATTTGGCGCTATATAAATAAACTTGAATTGAATTGTGGATTATAATTTCACAGTGTGGTTATTGGATTAGCAAGACACAGCCACTGTTTACAGTCAGTGAGTTAGTGAGGTGCTTTGTCTCTAGCAAGCTAATGCTGCAGCACCAGCATTTGTAATTTGACACCAGCAAAAAGCTCCAGAGTTGTCTAAAGAGACAATGTGTAGATTTTACCATTAATCTCTGGAAATATCCATTGAAATGTTGTTGAAAATGAAAAGATATTGGCGGCTTTGTAACATATAACCATAATCTGGTCTGGACACTTAAAAAAAAACAGCTAAAGATGCTTTTATTTAAAGCTGCTCTCACATAAATCTTTAGTTTTCTTATTTTTAACTCAGGATTGTAATCATCTTTCATTCTAATGATGAAATTTTATTATTTTATGACTTAATTTTTTCTGATGTTAATCTATTTCTGTTTTGAGATCATTGTTTTATTTTGTTGTGATCTATGTGAAGCATGTTGTGATTCTATGTCTGTGATAAATGCTAAATGAATAAATGTTACTTACTTTACTACTTAAAAATTGGGTCTGAAATACATGGGAGCGGGTTTAAGTCTGGGCGACGCCATATTAGACGCCATGTTTCCTTCTACGAGAGCCCGTGAGGACAAAACGCATTTAGGGATTTGTAACAAATGGTTACAAAACTTTTGCCGTTCATAAACGTTGTTGTTTTACACATTTACCTCTTCACTTGTTGATGTGAATGAAAGGGAGTCTGATGTCATCTTGCTGGAGGTATAATGATGGGACGAAGTACTCATTCGAAATTTGCGCTCCAAAGGTCATTTTGAAGAACTGAAGCCAGTAAACAGGAGCAACCCAGAAGTTCTTTATTGTACATCTAAGAAGCCACGGCATCTTTTTGTTTAACTCTAATATCGGGGGAAGAAGGCTAGAGGCTAGCATTGAGCTAAAAATGCTAACTGTGATTTAGAAGCAAATAGTCTAGGGCTGGGCGATATGGACCAAAACTTATATCTCGATATCTTTTTGCTGAATTCTGATATACGATATTTATCTCGATATTTTTCCTCCTGTAAAATATTTACAAGTTAACTCACTTCAAGCTGTCTTGATAAATTATACATAAATCAGTAGATTAATGCATGATTCTTGTTAAACTTTAACCTTAGTGCCTATTCTCTGGTACAGCTGTCGTTTCACACACACACACACACACACACACACACACACACACACACACACACACACACACACACACACACACACACACACACACCACACACACACACACACACCACACACACACACACACACACACACACACACACACACACACAGAGTTGAGAGCTAGAGGTGTATCAAATGTCCCACAGGCACTTTTTAATATATTTTACATATTGATAGTTAATGTAAAATTATTTTAATTTCATCTAGAAGTGGCCATATCATATATTTCTTGTCCAGAGAATAAAAATCTATCATGTTAAGCTAAATGTATGATGATGTAATTGCATCTACTGAGGATCACATGGGTCATGCACATCAATATATAAATATTGGACAATGGGTTTCCATAGCCTCCAATAACAAGTTTTTGTGCTAAAATGGGAGGTGGCCACCACCGCCATTTTGACCGTGTCACAGGTTCCGTCAAGCCCAGACAATTCCACAAAAGGGAAGAGAGGTGGAGCTGAAGGTGGGGCTGTAAGGCTGGGATCAACTGACGACACCCGGTCGAACTAGCTACAAGCTAACCTGAAGCTAACCCAAAGCTAACGCGAGGTTGGCGCTAAGCTAACGGAGGTAGCAACCTAGCTACAACCGGAGTGAACTGTGCACAACACCAGAGCTTCTGAGTCAGAGATACGCCGGGCTGACCGCTGGGTAAAACCGGGTGGAACACAGAGGTCTCCGAGACCTCCACAAGCCGATAGCCGCACAGCAGACAGGAGCCGCGATCAGACAGATGCGTCGAGCTGCTGGGAGAACCATCCGTCAGCCCGCGCAACTAAGGAGCCGCGATCAGACAGAGATGCACCGAGCTGCGGGGAGGGGAGAACGGGTGGAAAACATCGGTCTCCTGAGAGCTCCACAAGCCGGCAGCCGAACAGCAGACAGAGATGCGCAGAGCTGCAGGGAGAACCAGCCGGTTCAACTGTGTGTGGTATTTATTTTAAATGCTTTTATTACGATTCTTAGTGGGCTTCCTAAACTTATTTTGGCGTGCCTTTTTCTGTCTTATTACTCATAGCAACAAGTAAACGTCACGTAAAACGTTGCCTCGTGAGTTCTGCGTGCTGCCGTTTACGTGTTTTATGATCACAGCAATTAACCGGCTAAGCTGTATTTCATTTTTAAGCAATGGTTGATAACTTTTCAGATCACACATAAAAATCACTTTGGATTGCTATTATCTGTCTCACCGAGACAGATCTCAGACAGATCCTGAGACGCTCCTGCCTGACATATTTATTTTATTCACGGAAAAAAATCAGACTAGTGATTTCTCTTGGCGTTCAGTTTATACATTCAAACAGCACAGCACTCTATTTAAACTACTTACATGTAAATCTATGTTATTTGTGCATTCATGCATCCATTTTCATCTGCTTATCCGGAGTCGGGTCACGGGGGCAGTAGCGTCAAGAGGCCCAGACTTCCCTCTCCCCAGCCACTTGGGCCAGCTCCTCCGGGGAAATCCTAAGGTGTTCCCCGGCCAGGTCCGGTAAGAAGTCCGCTCCGACAGCTTCTGGTGTTTTTAAAAAGTATCCCAGGGGCACGGTAAGGGTCGGAGATGTTTAGTCTATTTAATTTCTGACTATATAAAACGATTTCTTTGGTTTTAAAGTGTGAAGTAAACTCCCGACGAAGTAAAATCCAAGCCGATCCCGTTCAATTTGTTTACATTTGTTGCCTGCCAACATGGTGTCTACTCTCTGAGAGTCACGTGACGTCTGGAGCTCTATAGTGAGAAGATGTCCACAACTGAAAGGGGTGTCAGGGAGAGTATAAAGGGCACAACTCAATCTTGATCACTCCTTTACTGACATTTGACAGGACAAGATACAACATACGTTCTGTCATAGCGGCCCGAAGTCTCGCTACCTCTTTTTTAGCACAACAGTTGCGTCCTTGATTCACGTCTTAAATTAGCTTTAATAGCGATTACTGGAAGCGACTAGTGATTAGGTTGCGGCCGCAAACTCACTGATGTGCCTGCAGCCTCTCGGAGTTCCTGCTGCTCTAAACATTAAAACAATTATTTCATTTTCTGTTCCTCACTTCTGATTACCTTCAATGGTGTCTGTTTGTTGCAACCACCAGGTACAAAAACTAACTTGTTTTTATTTGACTATTTTTCTGTCCTGCCTGTTTATTATCTTCCTGCATCTCCTCTCAATCCTAAAGAAAAACTGCTACCTGGGTTCATATATATTCACCTCATGAGTTACCTTTGAACTGCAGTTCTAAAAGATCTACCGACCGCTAAAACAGCGGAGTGCTCGCCGGCCACACCGGTGATCGGTGCGTCACCGAGGACAAAACAGGTGATGCGCCCTGCCCCACAGCAGCGAAATGCATCAGGCACAAATAAAAGAATAAAAGACAGAAAACATAAAAGGAAACGAGCCGATATGAACGATCGCGTGTTAAATTAGTTTTTGAGGTGGCGACACCTGATGTGATGACGTTACTAAGGCCGTGCTCAGGACGCAGATGTCTGGAGCGCGTCAACAATCAGAGCTTTGCATGCACAAGCTGGTTGAGGTTAGGATGGGGGTGAGGGGAAGGTTTAATTGGTCACAATTTGGTTAAATGTCCGTTTTACGGCGGGTGTCAGTGCCGACGCTCTGGCACAGCGCGTCCCCCCGAGCGCAGGAGCTTGTCACCTGCTGACAGCAGGCTGCTGTCTTTTTCGAGGACTGCATCTTGGCGGTCATTATCACGTGACAGCGACTAGTCGATGACAGGCATAACAAGTCACTATAGAGCGGTGAAGTCGACTAGTGACTAGTTCATACAACCCCTACTGCTCCCCAGAGTGTTCTGCAGCATAATCAGCACGTTCTCTTTGAACTTGATATCAAATTTTCGCCTCCTCTTCGTCCCCGCACGGTTAAAGTTACCCTCGCGGTCTATCACTGGCAAATCAAAAGTGAGACGATGACACAACCGCCCCCCCGTACTTGCTTGTTACCACATTCCACCCGACCACAATAAAAACCCGGCCATTATTCACCTCCGCCGACTCCGACACCGGCCAAAAATTGATACCCGACAGTTAATTAAATACAGGCTAATATTAGAGGATTTACGGTATCTGTTCTTTGCGATATGCATATTGCGCATGCTGATATCTCGATAACGATATATTTGCGACATACTGTGCAGCCCTAATAAAA